CTGTTTCACTCCTTGAATTTACACTGCATTTGTGACTGAGTTTGGCCAATTAGCATGTGGCAGAAGGGCTGCTGTATACGTTCTGAGCCTTGCTGTCAGGAGATGCTGCGGCTCTGGCCCTCATTCTTGAGATCCCCGCCACAACTGCCCCGTGGGTGGGCCTGGCTGTGGATGAGACACCACGCAGAGCACAGCACAGCCTTTCAGGTGAGGCTTTCCAGGACCAGCTGGTCTCCAGCCAGCTCAGCAGCTGACACCGACACATGCGCAAGCCCAGCCAAGTGCTGCAACCAGCTGGGTAAGGCTCATAGGAGAACAACGCAACCTGCAACCCGCGGGCTTACACGCTGAGTGAACGCGCACTGTTTCCTGCAGATGAGTTTTCTGACGGTGCATAAGGCAAAAAGAGGTTCCGGATACTGACATTTGCTTTTATCGACATTTTACATTTTCATCAATGAACAACGATATCTCTTTGTTTTCAAGTATTTAATTTTTAGTGCAATATTGTTTTCCTATATTTCTTTGCCATTTAAATTCCTATTTTGCAAATTGACAATTTGCCTATTGATTGATTACTTTTTCCTTAGTGATTTTGTAAAAGCTGCTTTTATTAACACTTTGTCTGCTAAATGTGTTATAGTTACTTTTTGCAGAAAAACAATACTGATTTTCTTGTGTAGCTCCATACACTTACTCTGCACACCAAAAAGGCCAAGTCTCAAAGCAATTAACAAACACAAAAGTAGACAGTCTTGCTTTGAAGGGATTTGCCTTTTTACATTCCAACCCTTGGTGTTTTTCTTTTTCTTTTGAGATAGAGTTTTCCCTTAGTCATCTGAGGCTGGACTTTAACTTGATATCCTCCCACCTCAGCCTTCCAGTGCTGGAATTAACACTCATTTTTTGAAGTGCAGTTTCTAGTGTATTCACTGTCAAAGAAATTCAGTCGTGTGATTTCATAGTAATGGCACTATTTCACAAATGAAGTTCAGTTCTGGGCCTTTGATCAGGCGATGCTACCCAAGCAGCCATACCCACGAGGCATAGGCCTTTCACTTTCTCCACCCAGAACACTCTGAGATACTTTTCAAAGTGAGTACTAAGTGGTAAGTGGCTACAGGATGGCTTGTGAAAGATGAATGGAGAAACAGGCCCACTCTCTATTCCTACAGGTGTTCCGAGACGTTTTGAAGTAAAAACTCTGTTTGACCTAATATTGTGTTGTCGAACACAATTTGGAAAATGCTGTATTGGAACAATCGCTAGAGGTTTAGGGGAGCTGCGAAAGCAAACATATCATTGATGAGGGTTTGACAACAAAGCTCTCTCCCAAAGTTCTCATCACATCCAGGTACTTCCATCCATTCCCAATTCAGCCATGTCTCTCTGCCAAAGAATGATCAAGCTGAAAAATGCAGCCTTGGTAATGCCCTGGGAAACAGATTGCATGTCCCACTGTTCATTAACACACCTTCCCCAGATCTCTTTGAATTTCAATCAGGATTTGTCTGAAGACCTAATATGCTCAACACTACTTCCTTCTCTTTTTTGCAGTTCTCCTTCCTTCTTGGACAGGCACTAATGTCCAAGCTCTCTGGAGACTCACTTACTGGTCCTTCTCCAGAGCTCAATGGTGCCTCGAGGAAACGAAGAAGGCTCTGGCCTGCCTGCCCTCCGTGTAGTATAAGTTCTGCTCCTTCACAGAGGCATGAAGGAACTTCTGGGAGGTTCCTCTGGCTCTCAGAACTGGGTTTGGGATGAGCGTGCTGTCTCAAGGGTGAATAGCCTTCACAAGGATGCTTCATAAGTGGACAGAGTGTTCTGACCGTGACATTATTACACCAAATAAAACTCTCAGTTTAAGAAAAAAATGTCAATTTAACCAACCTCCAATTGTAGAAAGCCATCAATTGGAGCAAACTTCATAGTCAGATCTAAACCATGGGTACAAGTGGACACCATTGCACTGATGTTGATCATTAACCATCACCAAACATAAGGTGGCCAGGCTGGCCTCTCTCATGTTATCTCTCCCTCTCTCTACAATTGTCATCCAGATAGCATTTCTGAAGCTGCAGCTTTGGCTGTCTTAGTAAAAGCACGTGAAGGATCCTTACTGCCCCATGAAGCGGCTCCCAGATGCTTCTCCGAAATCCTCCCTGCTTCCTGCCTTTTTCTTTGCCCTCTTAGCAGCAGGAACACACTTGGCAAGCCCAAATGCTGTTTGGTGTACTGCCTTTGGCCTGCCTTTGCCTTGCGGGTGATTTCTCCCACCTGGCATGTTCTCTCTGGATCTCTTCAGGTTTCAATCAGGATTTGTCTAAAGGTCTAATTTGCTCAGAATAGCTAATGCAGGGATGGCAAACAGGTTTCCCATTGTTAATTAACTCTAACTGATTGGAAGTGGCTGCCTGGAGCACTGATCAATTAACAAAGACTGTCAGGCGTGTGTGTGTGTGTGTGTGTGTGTGTGTGTGTGTGTGTGTGTGTGTGCACGTGTGCGCACACAGTGTGTGCACTCAAGTATGAGTGTATGTGAGTTCACATGCATGTATGGATAGATATGGGTATTCAGGAGCCATGGAGCTCATACTAGACACTTGGCATCACTGACTTAGGTATTAATTAGCATGCTATATTTGTAGCATGCTGCCACATTTACTGCTAGGACGCTGAGGGGAGCTCTTAGACCCTGAAAATCCTGCCCCATGCCCTTTCAGATGACTCATGTTTATCCCCACCCTGTGTACATCCTTCCTGCCCCTTCCTGACAGAGCCACCTGCTCCCTGAACATGTCAGACGCACTCCACACTCTTGCCTGGGCCCTCACACTTCTTGTTGCTTCTGCTGAAAGCTCTACTTGGATATTCTCATGGTTTCTCTTCCCCACATTTTCTTTCTTGCTCAGATGACACCTCCTCAATGAGGTTTTTCTTCTCTCTCTTTCACTCATCAAACCCAGAGCCTCATGTATGCTAAGCAAGTGTTCAGCCACTGAGTTATACCCCCAGCCGGCTCAATTTTAGCCTCATGATTGGCTGAACAATGGCTTTTGAGTGTACTCATGTCAGAATCCCTGGAACCTGTGAGAGTTACCTTATATAGCAAGGAGCACCTTTCATATAGGGCTACATTAAGGATTTGAAGATGGTGAGATTATTTTGAATTACCTTGTAGGGGCCTAAATGTAACCACATATATCCTTATAAGAGGGAGTCAGAGGGAGATCTGACTACATGAAAGGAGAGAAGGCAGTGTCATCATGGAAGTGGAGGCTGTAACAACAGCCATAAATAAAGAGATTCTAGTAGCCAGTAGAAGCAAAAAGAGGCAAGGGATGGATTCTCTGTTAAAGTCTCTAAAAAGAACCAGTGCTGCTGATACTTTGATACATACTCAGACGTTTCTGGGTTCTGAAGTATAAGAGGGTAAGTCTGTATTATTTGAAGCCATGAAGTTTGGAGAAATTTACCATAGCAACTGTAGAATCCAATACACAACTCGGCACACAACTCCCACATGCCCTATCATTGTTCCTGCTTTATTATCTCCTTCAGCCTTATCTGAGTCGTTGTATTTTCCTTGTTAGGAGTATCTGCCTCTTCTCACTTTGACACCAAGTCCCCAAGGGCAGGGGCTTTCTTGTTTTGTTCATAAGTGGGATAAGTGGTTGCTAATCCACCCCCTTTAGCAAGGGATCTCTGAGGTGAGTGGTCTCACCTGTGCTGGAGCTCTATTCCCAAGAATTGTAGCCTCAAGGGATATTGATGCAGAAAGACCGGGAGAGATGGCTCCCTGGGCGGCTTGGTCCTTTCTCACTACCTGCCAGTGGGTCACAACATTTCGGAGAACAATTCTTCCAGTGGGTGTGAATCCCCAAAGCCTTCTGCTTCTGGAGGGTCATACTACTGCCCCTTGATTTAATCAGATGACTTCTTGCAGGTTAGGACATCAGCACTGAGAGTAATGATGGTAATTTTTTTTTTTTTTTTTTTTGCCTTTTTTGTTTTTATCGGTACCAGGGATCGAACTCACGACTGCCTGCTTGCAAGGCAGGTGCTTATGCCGCTGAGCTAAATCCCCAGCCCCAATGATGGTAATTTTTATGGCTGGGCCTAGGATAGCCCTCAGACACTAGGTCAGAGTCTCTGGAATACAAAGTATTTTAATTATGGATGCATAATGCAACATGATGAGTCTCTAACTGGTCCTCCCCTGCAGTAGTGTCATGTTTGCAGATCCAGTAACTGCAGTCAGTCTGGTGACACCGTGGCTAGTCCTCCCCTAACCTTCACAGTTAGGAAGGGCCTATCACTGTGCCTTGCTGCAGCAAACTCCGATGTGGGTGGAATGCCCTGGGAAGGCACAGTCTCCAGAGGCAAGGCCAAGGACCTGCTGTGACTCAGGATAAAGGAGGACCTGGACACCATGAGCCAGCAGGGGGAGACTGGTTTCCAGGGCAGCTGCAGAAGCCAAGGCAGGAAGAGATTAATATCTGAGGCCTTTCTGGGAGAGGGATCAGAGTGCCAGCTGACTCTTGTTGGCCATGTGATCCTTGGATACATGACAGCATTTCCAAGCCTCAGTTTACTTACTTATGAAATAAGGACAGTGAGAGTGCCTACCAAACAGGATTGCTATGAAGCTTAATGTACACGAGAATAAATGTGTAAACGGCTTGCGGAACACTTGGCACATAGTTAGCACTCAATAAATATTAAGTATAGTGATGACAACGATAGCGATGATGATGATGTTGGGGCTCCACGGGTCAAGGTTTTCATTTCTCGAGGCAAGTGAAAGGCAGATTTGGACCACAGAGCAGTTCATTGCTTGCTCTGGCATACAGGGAGAGAAAAAGAATATTCCACCCTCCACGGGACATGAGGATCTGCTCCTCGCAGCCTGAGCTCCGCACCCTGGGCTGTCTTTGGCTGGGCTGGTGGCCCAGGCACACAGCCACAGGAGAGGTCACAGTTAGCAGAGAATCACTTACCTTGGTTGTCGTAGGAAGTGAAGACCTGGGGCTGCTGAGGGTGCTGCTTCTCTGCCAGGTTTCCTATTTAAGGAAGACAGAGAGGCTTGCAGTGACCATTGGGACCATGGTGGAATTTTCCCTGAGCGGAGAAGGGAGCTGTAAGAAAGGCAGACTGGCAGGGGCTGAGCACATGCACAGGCCTGGCCTAAACATGTGCATAGCCACGTACACACCTGTGTGCACATGACTGCCATATAATACCCTGAAAACCAGCTCAGTTACTCATTTTCATGAGTAAGCCTGTGTGTACATACCCCTATATCCCACCCAACAGCAGCCAGCACAGGCTGGGCTTTACAGGAGAAGCTGGTGACGCCTCCCAAGATCTGTGGACTGGAAGTCCTAACTCTGGTGTCTGAAGCATTCTTCCCCATACACATGCCTCTCTATCTTCATATCTTTCCATGGAGGAAGCTACCCTAAGTTTCCTAGCTCAGCCTCCTGCTTCCCTCTGAAAAGTATGGGGACAGGGTGGTAGGGTGGTGGGGGTTTGCTTCCTACTCCAGCCTTGACTTCGGGAGAGTATACACTTTGGTTCAGTTTCACAAATACTGTGGGATACCCATCATATCCAAATTGTTACCCCCTACCATGAATAGTTCTGTCTTTGGGACATAGAGCTATTCTCAGAGCCTCGAGGATCAGGCTGTTATAGAGAGATGTCTGGCTCCTGCCATAAATCACTGAGGGGAAACCATATGCTTCTCTTCCTCTTTATAAGACACAGGAGCTTAACCTCATTCCTTCTTGATAGATGTTGGTAGGGCTATAACACGGTCTGATTGAGGCTGCCCTTGAATTCCTGTTTCAGAGAGGTCACAGAAGAGGGGCTCAGGAAGGCCCAGATATGACAGCACTAGGTTCTGCTACTGCTACCAACCTCGCCTGTGTCCCTTTGGCCTCCTGCTGCCCTGCAAGGAGTCTGCCACCAGAAATGACCACTAAGGCCAGTGCCTCAGCCTGGGCACTAGTATGGCTTTGGGGCACTGGCCTTGGGGCACTGGCCTAAACAGGTTCTATTCCAATGAGTCCCTATGTTCAGGCAATAGGATCAGCAACTCAGTGATTCCTGTGCCTGGGCCCAAGCAGAAGCCAGCCAGGGTGTGTGGTGGGGGATTGAGTTGGATTGGACTTGTGACCCATCCTGAGTCTTGCCCTGAGAAAGGTGCCTGTCCAACCTCCCAGGATAGATCCAGGAAGGCCCCTGAGGCCTCTAGTTGGTGAGGCCAGATCTACTCTGTGTGCTAATGCAGCGTGATGTGGCATGTTGGGCTGGAGCCCCAGGTCAGACTCAGGCGAGGACAGGAGGCTGCCTCCTGTGGGCACAGCTGGCCCCATCTCCAAGAGGAAACAGGATCCGTAAAGGGAATCCTCAAGGAGGGTGATTGGCTGGCATAGCTTCTGCAGGGTATTTATAGTCAGGGCTGCACAATTGGTTTCCCTCTAGCTGTAGGGCATCAGACCTCGTGCTGCTAGGCAGACTTTGGCCAGGACCAAGGAAAGCAGCCAATCACCACAGGGGAAGCCCGTTGCTGGGCTAGCTGGGCGGGGAGGGGCAACTCAGCCCAAACACCTGCTGCTTCCAAAAGTTTGGAGCATTCCAGTCCCTCTCCTCCACCCACACCCAAGCCTCGGGAGAGCACAGGGCAGCAACAGGGGGAAAATGTGCCCCTGTGGACCTGTGCCATACTCAGCTACATTTGCGCACACACTACCAGCACAAGCCATCAGCTGCTTCCTTCTGAGATGAAAGCCATCCAGTTGCTAGGACTGAAAACTGCTGGTTACAAGCACTAGGTACCCTGGGTACAAACAAGGCAAGTATGAGAACATGTCAGCTTCCATACCTGTCGCCTGCATCTTAGCATCAGAAAAATTCTAATTTATGCATGCATAAAGCATATCATTTAAAAAATAAAATTTTATTGTAAACCACATATATTGGTAGAATAGCAGAACCATCTTTTCTGAATTGAAGACCTCTGTAGAGCCTCTCCCCAAACCTACATTTGCACTAAACTTTCAGTGTTTGGGGTGGTTTAGCAAGAACTATTTGAATCATCCTCTTTATAGACTGACACATCATACTAAAACACACTTATGTCTTTTATGAGAGTCTTGTACTGAATTTGTAATAGTTATTGCTTCACTTAGTGTTTTTTTTTAAATATCCTCCCACTAACCTTCCCTCCTCCCCAAATCAGGGACCTAGAAGATGGAAAAAATAGAGTGAATGCAATATATTTCAGTACTTCCCTGAGAGCCTGAAGATGACTGTCAGATGGCTCAGGCAGGTAGGAGAGAACTACCATAAATAAGGAGACAGTGTTTCTTCGTGCCTACCAGTGGCTTGGTTTACTCACTCACCTACACACACACTGGTCTAGCTGGAATGTCATGCATGGCTATTTCTGTGGCTGCCTGGTTTGTGGAAGTCTGATTCTTATTATAATTCTCACTAGCCCACAGCAGCTATGCTAATTATGTTTCTGTCTGAGTCCAGGTAGGTAAGCCAGTGCCCCCACATACCCGTTAGCCAGGACAGAGAGGAGTGGTCTCTTGTAAGGTAGAGTTGACTTGTCTAAAAATTGAATCCTATTTGTGATCAGGATAGAGGACACAGGAGAGCTCCTCCCTACCAGAACCTTGAAACTCTACTGATGGGAATATTGTTACAATTACACTCCTCTTAATGTAGTACCAGAACAGGGATCTTGACTGTCTTGTTCCCTTTTTCATCTCCAACATTTAAAATTGTGCCTGGTACAAAGAAAGCACTAAAGGTATTTGCTGAAAGAATGAATGAATTTACTTTTGAAACTCATCCTTTCTTTTGTTACTGTTGAAAGGATGGCAGATTTTCCATTTGTTGAGGGTCCTGGAGGATGGCACCCTCAGACTGGATTTGATAATCCAGTGTTGGATTCTGGGGCTCACTTGGTGGGAGTCTGCTGGGGGAGTGGAGACTGGATTTGATAATCCAGTGTTGGATTCTGGGGCTCACTTGGTGGGAGTCTGCTGGGGGAGTGGAGATCTGCTTCTTACTGGAATGTTCATGCGTCTGTCAGGTACACTGCCAAGAAAGGCAGGCTGAATGAACATCTGTAGGGAACAGCGTAAGGCCTGCTATAGTCAGCAACAGCCTCTGGGACAGTAGTGTCCCTGACACCAGGGAAAATTTCCAGGTCACAGTAGCCCTGGAAAGGGCTGCGGGGCCTGGTTGAGTCCAAGCAGCAACCTTTTGATCAGAGGTTAAGTGTCTAGGATTAGTCTTTAAATGAATGCAACCTAGTTCTCTCTCTCTCTCTCTCTCTCTCTCTCTCTCTCTCTCTCTCTCTTTCTCTTTCATTTAACAAAAGTTTATTTGGGGAGAAAAGATGGAAAAGAAAGAGGACAGACAGCTACCAAGAGGTGGTAGGGGGCTTCAGAGCTGAAAGCCCTCAGTTATTTCTCAATATATTGAAACCCAAAGTTGAAAACACAATAGAAAGAAAAAGAGAATTTACCATGCAGGTCATTTCCTTCTAATTTCTGCCATTTCTGGATCCCATTTCCAACACCCTGGAGTCCTGTGAAAGGCAAGGATGGTTGGTGTGAGGTTCTCTGTGATAGGAGACACAGGGCAAGTGAGCCATGCATCAGCTGCTCTTGTCTGAGTTGAAGCAGGACTGGTGGAACTTGCCTTTCTTGGGAGTCAAAGGAAGCTGCCCTTGAATGGGATGTTTTTTTTGGAACAAGAATGCAACTCTCAAAACTTAAAATATCTTTTAAAAAAGTTAAAACAGTAGTTTTCAAAGGTGGCGAGATTGATGGTCAGAATTATCCTGAGAGAATATTTGCAATATGGATGCCCATTTTCTGCTCTCATATCTTGATTCGACAAATTCAAAGCTACTATTTTAGGAGATATTCTATATCCACTTTCCTGCCTATTTCTAGCTGTGTGGCACCCTATGCCCAATCCCAACCTCTCCTTCCTCCACAGAGTTGATGTGGAGTGGGGTGGGGTGGGGGTAAAGCCTGCGTATCCCAACAGGTGGGGAAGGTGGCAGTTGCCTGCTCTCCTGGCCTCCCTTGCAGCTAGATCACGGCCAACCAATGCACCTGTATCCAAGTCTGATGAGGATGCAATGGGAGCAGCAGCTAGAAGCAGTAACTATAAGCCTGAGTTCTTGAATGAACTGACCTATGTTTTGGCAGCAAGCGCCACTGCAATAAAAGTGAGTCTCTGGTGTGGAATGAGTGTGGTCCACTGTGGTGGCCTGCGAGGCTGCCACAGCTTTCCACTTGAAACCCTGGCGGATACAGTCATCCAGTAGAATGGACAAGTCCCACAAATTTGGGGGATAAAACCTAGAGATTTGGTGCATGCAGCTTTTGGCTTCTTTCTCTTTTGCTGCATGAAGATAGAAATTCTTTTCTCCAAAGTATGTTTTTTAAGAAAATAGCTGGAAAAATGCTAGCCACAGAGGAAAGGAAAGATAACCTTGCAGCCCAAATCCCTGGTGACCAGCCTGACTGTCCTTTCCTTGATTTCTTGCCCTTTTAGTCCTTTGAACCGTTTCTGCTGCAAGACCACAGTGTGCTTTGTGAGAGAAACTGAGCTTTTCTCTCTCCTTTGCAGAGCCAAAGAAGACCTGCTCCCTATTATGGAAACAACACATAGAAAAAGATATCTAGGAACAGGCAGGGATTTGTTTGGGATTTTATGCCTCCATGGGAGACCTTCAAACAAGCTATCCTGGTTCAGTGTTTTCTCTTCCAAGGTTGTGTCCTGAGGAGTGGACCTCCAAGCAGGCTTAGCCTGGGGTCTCAGGACCTCACTGCCCAGCAGCCATTAGAGGACATGCACTTTTCCTCTTTGCACCAGTGAAAAAGTATCTGATTGTGAATAGGTGACACATCTTTGAGACACCTCCAATAGGAAAATATTTGTAGAAATGTAACAGCTCCTATCAAGTAAGGGCAGGTAGGTGTCTCCTCCACTGAGTCATGGTGGAGATGAGTGTGTCGGTCTGGAGTCTCGGTGTTGGGGGGTCGTAAGTTGTGTCCTCAGGATGGAACGGACTCCTCCTTTGCATTCTCTGCTCTCTCTAATGTCAGAGTTCTTAGGGCAGATGCGGTCAGAGGGGACTCAGAGGTGGGGAACTCTTGGGCTGACCTTGAACTTGGCCTCATCTGGCACGCAAGGGGAATCTTCTGGATTGGGTGCAGGTAGTAGAAACAGTTTCATTTCTATCAAGAAATTCATGACCTCTGATTTCCTCGTTACAACTACTCCAAGGAACTAAAGAACCAACTAACCTAAACAACTCCTGACCCCCAAATTCCTCCAAAGACCGGCCCACTTGTCAACATTCTCCAAGCTATTTCCTTCCCCTGACAGCATTCCCAAGAGCTCCCCAAGAGCTGTAGGGCAGCCCCAGCTTGTGCAGGAGTTGGGGCGAGCACCCTCAGAACCTTACTTAGTGGATGTTCCACACAGATGCTCTTTGTGAATGTCCCCAGACCCCCGACAAAAAAAGCCAGGGACAGAACAGCAGCAGAACCTTCAAGGAGCTCTAGAGCAGGAGGAGAGGCAGTGGGCAGAAGTCGTTTTCAGCAGGGGTTATTAAGCCTCATTGCTGAAGAAGGAGCATGTCCTCCCACCAGTCCCAGACTTCTCTAAGCTCCATCATCAACCATTTCTACTCTGTTCACCGTGTATATTTGAAGAGTAGAGGCCTGAGTCCCGTCTTCCACTACTCCCCTATATCCGGTCGCTATTTTACCAGTTTCGCTTCCCAGGACGTGAGCTGGACAAGTAAGATCAAATAAGCTCAAGAACTCAGTGCAGATTTCAAACTCCAAGCCACCCAAACCTGAGTCCTTTTACCCCTCCCATGCATTTTGTCTGCGGGAGGCTGGAGGAGAGGCTCCAGAAAAGGGAAACTGTATTTCTGTTGTGCAAGGCCACCACGGGTCGGTCTGTGCACAGGCTCCCCCCAGCACACCTGAGTCTCAGGGAGCTGGGCGGCAGAGCAGGCTACTGATACTCAGGGGTCAGCCTGGGCAGGAGACCCATCTCCAGGGCATTTTTCAACCCTGGTCTGCACCCTTCAGGGAGAGGCTGGGAGAAAACAGGGCACTCCGAGGGACGGACGGAAGTATCCTCAGGCCGCACCAGGAGTCAATCTGGGACAATCTGGTCTACGCGTTGCCGCGAGACGCTGTTGCCACGCGCGTAGGCACAGGCAGCAGTGGGAGAGAGGGCTGGGATCGCTGACCTGGTGCAGGGGCACATGTGGCGCCCCCCGGCGGGCGGGGCCTGGGCTAAGGAGGTCGAGGTGCCCCGGGGTCCCGGGACCGACCCAGCGCGCGTTACCTCCTCCGCGCTGCAGGCGCGCGTCAGGCTCCGCCGGTGGGTCCGAGCGCGTGCCCTGTGCGGCGCGCAGCTTCTCGGGGTGCACGATCAGCAGCATGTCGATGGCCACAGCGTTGCTCTCCTTCTTCAGCTCCATGATGCCGCCGCCCTCCCGGCCGGGTCGCCGCGGCTGCTCGTGAGGCTGCCTGTGCTGCAAATGGCCCCGCGCGCGCCGCTGCCCGGCCTGGCGCGGGAGAGGGAGAGGGCGCGGGAGAGGGCGCTCCCCCGCCGCCCGAGCCGCTGGGCGCCGCGTTTCGCTGACTCTGCCAAACTCGCCATTAGGGCCCTCCCGGGAGGGCGCTATCCTAATGGAGCGGCTCTAAGTCACCTTTGAAAGGAAATCCCCGGCCGGCCGGAGCCCTGACCTGCGCCGAGGCCGCGCTCTGCAGCCTGCAGAGGCCGGTCCTGACCTCTCTCCCTGAGCCCTGGCCTCTGGCCCCATGCAAGTCCTGGGCTCTACGGTGCTTCTCCTCGCTCTGGGTGCTGCCTCATCCCCATCATCTGTGGTGGCGCGTCCCCAGATCTCCAGCTGACCTCCAGGATTGAAGTCAGTGGCCAATATAGAATGCCAACTTTGGGCATTCTATATTGGGCAGCGCTGCCAACATTGGGCTTCTGTTCAGGACAAGAAAGACAGCAAAGGGCTCCAGATTGACCCACAAGTTGTGCAGACGTTGACCAAGCTTTGGCCTCAGTTGCACTCATTCCCTGGGTGGGCTCTGGAGGAGAGAGCTGGCTGGGGTTCTGGGGTCAGGACCCACCCCAGTTATGACGCTTTCAGAACTTGGGTCATGCCCGATGGGTATCAAGCTAGCAATCTTCTGGAAATCTCAATTTCTTCTAGAAGCAGGGTTCTTTCCCCGAACAGCAAGGGAGGAGGGAGAGAGGAGGGGGAGGCTGGGAGCTGCCTGCTGCTGTCTGGGAGCTGGACCTGAGCGCTCTCTATTTTTAGCAGGGCCGGCCTACCCAGCCAACAGTAGCGGGGCATTTGGCTGTAGTTCTAAGGCGTGTTTACATGGGCATATGCCCGCTAGCCTTTGACAGTGTGGGTCCACCAGGTGGGCGATGATCTCTGTAATTTGAATTTCCACCATTAGTAAATACCACCCACATGGAGCCCTGTGCACTGGATCCCTTCCCTGCTCTGGGATATTGACCTCCCTGGCACCTCTAGAATTGTCCTTGGAATAGCCTGTATTGCACAGGCTGTGTTGAGTACCAGCCCCTCTGTTTGCTGACCATGTGACCTGGGACCAGCCATTTCCCCTCCATTTTCTCACCCATATCTTTGGGGTAATAAAAATTCTCACAGGGCTACTGTGAGAATGACATGCATGTTAGGTGCCTGGCACGCGGTAAGTGGTCTCCAAATGTGAGCTGTCATTATTTCATTCCAAGAGTAAGGAAAGAGACAGGTGGAGAGACAGGTCAGTGATGGAGCTGGGGTCAGGGCACACAGCCACACCTGGTTCTGAAGGTCTTACCCCAATGCCTATGGCTCAGTTTGGTCTGTGCAAACACTGCAGTTCACTGTAGCACTTGAACTGGGCTTGCCTACTGGGCATCTGTCATTGGCTTCTCATGATGTGGCCCTGGAGTTGCTGGGGAGTTGAACTATGGATGGACAGGTGGACATGGGTGACTTCTGAGCCAGGGTTTCTCCTGCTAAAGTGAGTCCTGTTTGTATATGTGTGGACTCTCTCTCTCTCTCTCTCTCTCTCTCTCTCTCTCTCTCTCTCTTCTCTTTGTCTCAGACACACACACATACTCTCTTTCTGTCTCTCTCTCTCTCTCTCTTACACACACATACACACACACACACATACCCCCAAATACACACATGGCTGAAAACTTGGGGGAATAAGAACTGTGAATGGTATAAACTTCTTGGTGTCTTAGATTGCTAAGACCCCAGAGTTCTCCTTACTAAATAGTGACAGGCTCATTTGACTCCTCTTTAGGAGACAAGTTCTTGAGACACAAAAAATACCAGCAGCTTTGCTTGGTGCTCCTTGTTGCTGAAGGGGTATAAATACAGAGGGGGTGGAGACTGAAGTCTCCTTGCCTTACGGGTGACTTTCCTGTCCTCACCCCCTCACTCTCATGCTGGAAAGTGTCACCTGTAGGAACTCACTGACTGTACGGCCCTTTCCCAAAGGTGTCTCTGGAGAGGGTGCTGACCTAGGATGTCCTGGAAAGAGGGCCAGGAAGACAGTGGGAGGGCTCTTGCCTTTCTGCTCTGCTTGAAACTTAGATCTCCAGACTAGGGCTTGCTTCTCATCCTCAGCACTGCTGGCATTGTGGGTAGATGGTTCTTTGTAGGACACTGTCCTGTGCATTGCAGGATATTTAGCAGTATTCCTGGAATCTATCTACTGGATGCCAGTGGTACTTACTTCCTAATCTTGACAATCGAGAGCATTGACATACCTTGACAGATGCCTCCAAAATCACACTGAGAACACTGCTTTGGCAGGCTTGGAGTAGGGGAGAAATTCTGAAATGAAGATCAGCTTGAGTGCTGTGGGAGATGCTACCGCTGGTAGAGATAGGTGCTTCAGTTCACCTGGACCCACTTCTCAGGTGCTCCACCTCTGACTGTTGGTGCAACAGTCCAGCTCTTGGGTCTTTGAGAGCAGAAAGATAAGATACTCGTCTCATTTCCCACTCTATTCCCACCTCTGGTCTCAGTGGACCAGCTGCATCCCTTTGCCATGTCCTATTCTTGAATGGAGAGGGAGATGTGGGGAAGGTGAGGGAGGTGAGGGCATTTGGATATATCAGGAAAGGAGAGCAAGGCAGAAGACTCAGGCTCCTGAGATAGCATTGTTCCATCTGCCCAAATCCTGCCTCCAATTGCTCCTCCAGGACAAAGGACAGACCCCCAGACTGCAGCCCACACTCTGGCCCCACCTCTTCCTCTTTTCTTGTGATTCCCAAATATACTGCAGCCAAAGTTGTCTCTTCTTTTGTAGCTCACACACCTGGACTCTCTGCTTCCAGGTTTTTCTCAGCATACTAGCTTCTCCATCTTACCCCAATCGAATAACATGGGCTTCAAGGATCTCTGGATTCTGAACTAATCAATCTTCAGTTTTGTCTTGGAATTTGGCAAACCAAGGTCTACCTCTATGCTTAGACAAAGACTTTAATTATTTAGTCACAGTGAATTGGGCTGGGAATATAGGCATATATCTATCATTCCAGCACTCTGGGAGGCTGAGTTTGAATCCAGCCAGGGCAACTGAGGGAGATCCTGACTCAAAATAAAAAATAGAAATGGTTGGGGTTGTAGTTCACTTCAAAGGATCTGGGTTCAATCTCCAGGACTACCACCACCAACAGCAATAAAACAAAGTTGGAAAGTTCAGGACATCAAAAAATAAAGAGTAGGAATCAGTGCCATGTGCGGGCCACCAAGGGGACAACCAGATCCCAGCCTTTTCCTGTGAGTCAGCGCCATTCAAGGACTGTGGGGGAAGCGAACAAGAAGTCAACAAGAAGCAAGCTCTTCCTGAGAATCGGCACCATGTGCAGGCAGCTGTGGGGAGGGGCAGATACCAACCCCTTCCAGCACTTGGACTGGGAAACAAGAAGAGCCAACCCCTCGCCCCCATAAGTGACCAACTGATCTGGGGAAATACAGGCTATAAAGATGGGTACTGAGGTGAAATGCAATTTGATGCTTGTGCTGTTTGGTGTTTCACTGACTTTGCAGGTCTAGGGGTGATGGTCTGATCATCTGTTCAGAGGATAATGGTACACAGCGTGGTATCTATGGGGGAATCTCCTCCTGAGTGTGGTAGCCATTGTTAATTCCCTATCATCTTGTTTTGAAGTCCTATGTCCTTTTCATTGCTTTGTTGGGTTGGGTTTTATTCTGTTTTGTTTTTGTTGATTTTATTGTATCTGATGGCATGGGCAGCTATTTCAAAGATAGCAAGATATATTATGGTAGCCATTTTGGATTTACTATTGTCTTGTTTTGAAATCTTTTACTGCATTCATTGTTTTGTTTTTATTGGTTCTATTCTGTTCTGTTTGATTTTTACTATGTCTGAAGGTATCTGCAGCTATTTTGAAGATAACAGGAGGCATTATGATTGTTGATTTTGTACTATTTTGAAGTCCTGTGTCACTTGCACTGGTTTGTTTTGATTAGCTTTATTCTGTTTTATTTTGCTTGGCTTTGTTCTTTTAAAATAAAAAGATAAGTAGCAGCTAAATATTAAAACATAGTATATATATCCTGTGCACTAATGTTTTGATCAATGATGGAGCAAGTGTACAAAGGAGGCCCCCTGAGATTACAACAGAGCTGGGAAATTCCTGTTGTCTAGTGATATCATGTCTGTGGCCATGTGGGGGCACAACATGTTGTGTGTGCAATGATGCTTATTGCGTGTGCAAAGCAAACATAGCATATGCAATCGATACAGCAGACAGTGCTTGAGAGTGTTAATACATGGTGACATTACTGATTTGCATATTTACTACTTTTATTATTTTAGATTGTATTCCTGCTATTTATAAAAGATTGCTATGAAACAGTGTTCTGTATGATGCCTGTGGCAGTCTCATATATCTCTGGTTTACTGAGTCTCCTGTTTGTGTGTGTGCGCGCACATACACATCATATAGCCTATACTATACACATAGTATACATTTAGGTTCGTGTAAGTACACTTGTTGCTTGCACAATGATGAAGTCACCTAAGGATACATTTCTCACAATACATCCCTCTTGTTAGGCAACATGCGACTATTGCTGTATTGTCACCTTTGTCTTTCAGTTTAGCTCTTAGACATGACCTGCTGTCACTTGCACTGATTCCACTCTTCTGCCTGCAGGTGGGATTTGTTGCCTCTGATTGGTTCTGGGCTTCAAGTGGGCTTTGCTGTCTTGGAGGTGTGGAATAATCAGCAGAGGGGAAGACTCTTTTAGCAGTGGAGACCTTTTACCCCAGAGTGGTGCGTGCTAACTCCCATTATGTTTTTGCTCAGAAATAGATTTTCAGGAGCCATCAACTGCTATAACTCTTTTTACCTTTGCTGAGTTTCCCAGGGGGACATGTCTTTGTCATCCACAGAGACAGTGGGACAGTTCTGAATGTCCTATATGTAAGGATACACAGACACAACAGTCTTTTCTCCATGGACGCAATGGGGAAGGGGCAGCTGGGAATGCGGTAAAATGGTGACCTCAAAAGCCCATTCCCAGGAGCAGAGGCACACACCTGTAATTTCAGCACTCTTGGAAGCTGAGGCAAGTTTGAGTCCACCTTGGGAAACTTAGCAAGACCTTGTCTTAAAATAAAATAGAATAGCATAAAATAAAATAAAAGAATAGGGCTGGGGACATAGCTCAGTACAAGGATTCTGGGTTTAAGTCTCAGTACAGGAGGAAAAAGAAAGCAACAGTCCCCCGACCCCCATCCTGATTCTCTCAGCTTCCACTGAAGTTGGTGGTTCTTTGCACAGAGTACCAAACTCCTTCCCTGGACAACTTTTCCACAGCCAGTGCACCTTGATCCAGCCTACTTTGCTTCTTCTATATTTGGGTCCTTGCTGTTGCTGTTATTTCTTCCTAGGAAACTTCTCCAGGTCTCCGTGGAAAGTGGTCTAGCCTCTTTCAAGCCTGGACACCAGCCCTCACTTCTGCCTTGAAGCCTTCCTGTCTACCCCAGTCTTGGGGTTCCTGGGCAATGCTAAATCTCTGTGTGGCTCTCTCTTCTACCATCCAACACTTAACACCCATCAACTTTGGAAAACATATCAATTCTCTTTGAAACAGTTACACTAAGCAAAAATGTATCTGTAGCAGAGTGCACTGAACAGTGTGATTACACTCACTGAACCTCAATTTTCCTCATCTGTCAAATGAGT